TTGAACCAAACAAGGGCTGGAATGCTGATAGCAGCTAGACCTGAGAAATTGGCCAGATGGGTTTTGTGAAACAGTAGGGGAAAAAAAATTAGTGCATGAATTTTCATAATTTGGTTTATTTTGGTACTAGTCTGGATCTGTGCGTCTGAGTTACAGGACTGTTTTTTGGGGCAGGCACTCTGCACTGTGTGTAGCTGGGAAGAACGTCAATTAGTCAGATCATGAGAGAAGCAGCTGTAGCTGTGGAGGAGACGAGATGACAAGGTGGGGACCTTCTATCTCCCTGTCACACTGATGATAATTTATCTAATCTCTTTCATACTTTCCTTCAAGAGATACGTACTCAGTGCCCTCTGTTCCATGAATACCAATGGCTTTTGCTGTTAAACACTCAAACTGAGACACATTCGATTAAACTCAAGAGCACCGGTTCTAAATCCTGACTTTGCAGAGACGCTGAGTTTGTATCTGAAGGACAAGAAGGGCTCGTGTGCCTCAATACATTCTTCAACCAGATGGATTAATCACCTTGCCTTGTACCTGCGAGAATGACTCAGTACACGTGTACATCCGAGTGCGCTCCTGTGCACGCTTGGTTCGGTACGTAGGTAGGCCTGCAAACACGTGCAGATTTATTTTCTTTTTTCTTTTGTATGAGCCTGTGACTAAGAGCGGGACAATATAAACCTTCTGGGATAGGTGAAGGGAATTTAGTCATCCCAGTCTGCTCAAGCTGGTAAACAATGGGCTGAAGCGTGGCTACAGGAACATCTGTTTCGTTAGCAACAAATCCCTGCAGCTCCAAGTCACCACCTGCAGTTCTACAGGAAGGACCTCTGGCGAAAGGGAGACTCGGAGTTGGGCGGTGATCCTTCCCGGCCCGGAGGGAGGCACCGGCACAGCGTCTGCCCGAGTCCAGGCTCGAGGCAGGTGGGCGGCAGGGGCCAGCGTCGTACGCCGTGCGCTGTCCGGCCGGCGGCCCGGAGCGAAAGATCGGTCCCGGGCGAGTCGGAGCCGAGCCCAGCGGGACAATGCCCGAACCTCGGCGACGGGAGCGGCACAGCCCCCGCGCCCTCGCGCGCCTTCCCGGTGCCCCACGTGCCAGCGGCCCCTCCCGCCTCGCACTGCA